GGTAGCCAGACTTTTAAGGATATGGACAAAAGTTAAAAACAATTTTGCGGGCAAAACATATTTATTTTTACAAAAATAACTATTATAATCATTTGTATCAAAGCTATATAATTATTAAGAATGGTAAACTTGACCGTCTGAAATAAGTTCTTTGATGTCTAGATTGATTTTTGAGGTAGATAGAAGTATCAAATTACCAAGATGGCTGTCTCCTAAATATCCAATATATTTTTTTACCACGGGCAGTAGTTTGGCCGCCAAATAATGACTTTTTAATTTTAACATAAAGAATATTTATTAGCTTTAGTGCATTTAGAACGTCGTTACGGCATGATAGAAAAGGATAACTGACAATCTTTTTTTTTCTGACGAGAGTAAGTTCCATGCTCAGTTCCAGACGTGAAGTAGTGTAGCATAGATGCGCAGGTTGTTCACGATAAATTGATTCTAAGTTTTTCTTTTAGCTTAATGTAGTTTTTATTTGCGAAACATTTATGTGTTGGCTATACTATGTATAAAAAACCACGCATTTATTTATATTGTTGCAAAGTATCATAATCATAGAGTTTGTAACACGTATTATATTTAAGGTATGATAATACTACCTCAATATATTCATTTAATTTCATTTCGTTGGATTGCGGGAAAATAAGGAACGATCTTAGTGGGGTAATAGGGAACGCTTACTGTTTTTTCAAAGTATTCTAGTGTATCTGATAACACACGGGCGTTTCTTAAATAAAATTGTTATACATTATCTATTTAGTTTATTATTGTAATATATATATATTATATATATATATATATATATATATATATATATATATATATATAATAGATAATGTATTATTATGGTATAATAATAATAATACAAACACTCTTGTGCGTTTAAGAGTGCTCAGTACTATTAAGTAATAGAGCAATATTTATTTATATTAAATGAATAAAAACAACTTTTAATGAAACTCTGAGTTTCATGCCTTTCGGCAATCATCAGCCATTGAGTATTTCGTGACTTAAAAACCGTTTAAAAGCTACAAATTAAAATTACGGTGGAACCTTAGACCATTAAAACTGACGGCGTTTTTGAAGCCAAATTTTTTCAGAGAATGTGACGTCACATTGTAGCAAAAAACTAGAAAAAACAAACTAGTAATAAGATTTTATTTAAATTTTTTAGAAAAATTCTTTTTATTTGAAATATATAGAATATATTTTTATGGGATATATTCTTATAAAGACTAAATATCGTAATTACTATGTCAATTCTTTAAAACTATTTATTAATTACTATTGTAATAAATACAAACTTTTATCCGTGAAATAATATATCTTTACCAGTTTTACTTCTTTTTGTGCAATTATATACACCCTAATTAAGATTAATTAAAAAATATAAGATAAATGCAAAAGCAATCTCGACCTAAAAATGATTTTTTTTTTTTGCCACAAACTGACGTCACTTTTTTCGGTTTCACTTTTAGATTAGCATTTTATAGCTAACGCCGTGTCTATCAGTTTTAATGGTCTAAGGGTGGAACAAAGATTATAAACTTTTGATGCTTGATTGTAGGGCTTACATTGTGCTATTATCTTCCATGTAATCACAGGATTTATATGTTTCGATTTTAGCTCCCATATTTCTTCGGAAAGTTCAGTGTCATTTTTATATTTGGGTGCATTGAATGGCTTAAGATGGTTGGCATATCTTAATTTAAATGTGGTTTCACTTATACCGAAATAAAATTTATCTTTGAATTGAGAATCTCCAGAACTTACAGTGGCTTGGTTTACGATATTGCTAAAAAGGCATTGGTTATTTAACTTACATCCCTAAGAATATTTTTCCAAGATGGCTACGCTAACTCCGAAATCGTCTATTGTAAAATTTTATATTTATGCATAGTATAATATAATATGTTGTTTAATGCTTTATTTTTATATTTACGTTACATTACGGATATGAACTGATAAGTAAATCTTTTTTTTAAAGATTTATTCTTTTTTTCAAACTTTTTTTTTTTTTCAAACTTTTTAATTTCACTCTTTTGTATAATATTTGAACTTGTAAACTTTTTTTTCTCTATTTCTCGAAGGGGCTTGATGATAAGACATTTTGTCTTTTACTTGCCCCAGCCAGATTATAATTGTATATATATTTATTAGAACATAAGGGTTACATTGTAAAATGTGTTGACAAAATAAAACTAGCAAGAACTAGAACAGAGTTTTTTTTAAAGAAGATTGTTTTAAAAACCTTTTTGATAACTTGTAAATTTTTTTTTATGTTTTTAGAAATATCAAACTGTTGTAAAATTTTAACCCTGCCGTTTATACAGACCCCTTTTTCTTAAAATATATATTTTTTTCAAAATATAAATATTTTAATAACTATTTATAACTTACAAACTGATCTGAGCCGTAAAAATACAGGTCTTTGTCTATTCCACACTGACCTTTTTTATGCTTTTTCTATATATATATATATATATATATATATATATATATATATATATATATATATATATATATATATATATATATATATATATATATATATATATATATATATATATATATATATATATATATATATATATATATATATTATATATATATATATATATATATATATATATATATATATATATATATATATATATATATATATATATATCCTAGCTTTCCGGACCCATTAAATACGGGTGTTTATCATGCCTACCATTTCTATGCTTATCTATTCCACACCGATCATTTCTATACCTATTATTTATTTGTTTCAATATTTGTACTTAAAATAATTCATGTTAAAAAACTACTTTAAGAGCAAAAAAATTACCATGCGAACCTTTTCCGCATACCTAGAGCTTCTATTTATTATTAGGTTTGTTTTTCTCCGAAACGCATTTTTTTTTTTTTTTTTTTCCAGAAAAATATGAACAAGGTAAATTTATATTGAATATATTACTGGTAGGACTTCCAGAAGATCACATGATCTTATCATAAAGCCCTTTACAATCTATATAACGAATTAAAAGGTAGAAAATTTACAAATATTAAAAATTACATAAGCGTTAGAATATTCTTCAGATGTTAAGCAAGTTTTAACATAATATTTTATAATATGGATATATAACATTCTCAATATTGAACAATATTATAATATAAAGTATTCAGCATATATTGTTTAAATAATATTCATCACACAGTCGACAAAAATATCAATTAACTTGAAATACTAAAAATAAATAAATATATTTTGTGTTGAAAAGGTTATTTCTTTTGTTTTCTTTTTAAAGGAGGAATAAGACCATTTAAAAGAAAAATCAAAGTTAGGTAAAACTATTTTATTCCAAAGAAATGGACCACGATAAGAAATACAAAACTGGTCAATTTTTGTTTTGCAAAACTCTTGAATATTTTTACTATCACGAAGTTCATATTTGTTATTTGGTTTCAAATTATAGAGATTTATAAATACACTTGGAGATAAATTTTCTTTACATTTAAACATAAAACATAAAATATTAAAAATATTTAGTTCGTATATATTTAAAGCTTTCATTTCTATAAGAAGTGGTGTTGAGCTTGAAAAACGATTTCCAAAATTAATTATGCGAGCTGCGTGTTTCTGATGCCGATAGAGAGATTTAAGTTTGGTTTTGTGAGCACTTCCCCATATAATATTGGCATAGTCTATATATAATTGACAGCATATAATTGACAGCTCAGTAGATTAGTGCGTTGTCATCAGTGTCGTTTTGGGGGAAAGACTCCCCAAATAAATTTTGAATAATTTTCAATCTTGCTGTATTTATTGCAATATTTATAGCAAAATTTTTATTATAGTAGGTGAGAGTTGTCTTAATTAGAACACTCAAGGAATAAATATTTATTAACCAAAGATGGCTTAACTATGAAAACATTTATGATTTGATTAATATAAACAGACAACCCTACTATTCTTTTAACAATAATTTGACTTAATTGATTGCACTGTTATTGGAAATAAATAATTCCTTAATCAGAACAGGTTTTTTTTTTTTAAAAAAAAAAAAAAAAAGTAAAATCAACAAAAATTGAATTAAAATGATTTTTACCTTTACAGTGAAAATTTAAACATTTCATTCAAAACTTATAATAGAATTAATATTACCCTAACAAACTGAAATTCTACAAACAAAAAATTGTATAAAAGCTTCAACTGTTATGACGTTCTCTTAATTTATTGATTAAAAATCACTAAATAAAGTTTTATTTTTAAAGTTTATAGTTGTTACAAAGTATTTTTAAATTGCGCTTGAACTATTTCTACAACCCTTTGATTTTATTACTGATTAAGTGAGGAAAACTTCATAGTTCAATTAAGGAAACTTTAGGCTATTTGTTATATCTCTGTAATATCATCCTTGCAACAACTCAAACACGGAACATGGAAGCGATCGGACGTGCTTTTCTTGCGTTTCAACGTTTTATATATTTACAAAACAGTTACTTATTTTTATCTACTTCTAAAAATTTAATCAAAATAAAAATGGCTAAACACGAAGAATATGTATCTATAACAATGGTGAGAGAAATAATGCACGTACAAAAAGAAACAATTATGGCTGTTTTTCGTGAAATTGCTCGCAATTTCAATATAAAAATTGACACGCTTCAAAAAGATGTTTATGATGTAAAAAAGGAACTTTGTAAAATTGAAGGAAGCATAAACTTTATTGGTGATGAATGGGAAGTCAAAGTAAAGGGTGTTGATAATAAAATTGCAAAGGTAGTCGAAGAAATAACTAATGTAAAAAAAATACAAAGAAAAATCATTTTAGATAACACTGAACTCAAATTAAAAAGCGTAGACATTGAGGATAGAAACAGACGAAATAACTTACGGATTGATGTAGTCATTGAAGGTGCAGATGAAAAAGAGTGGTAATGGTGGTTCTGAGCGAGTGCGAACGATTGTGCTAAAGTTGCATGACTTTGAAGAAAAAGCGATAATTATGGATAAAGCGAACAAACTAAAAGGTACTAATATATATATTAATAAGGATTTTAGTGAAACAACTAGAAGAATTCGTAAAGAACTATTTGCACAAGCGAAAACTCATAGGCAAAATGGTTATTATGCAAAAGTTCTATATAATAAATTGATAGTTCACGAATTTAAGCAAAAAAATATAGATGTAGTTGAAATTTTGCCGACTATTTAAAAATAAGCAATATTATTATTTGAGTTCTTGAATAAGCCTTTTTTTATCTTTTATTTTTAATTTTTAAAAATGGCTGAAAATAATTTTGCTAATAAAGATTTTAAAAATTTAAATTTTGATCCTTTTGAGGATTTTCTTAACTTTTCTGAAGATAATTTAAATGTTATTAAAGAAACTGAAATGAATTTAATGAATACATCATATTTTAATCCTTATAATTTCAAAATTAAAAAAGATATTAATTCTTTTTCTATATTACATTTAAACATAAGAAGCATGGGTCAAAACTTTGAAAAACTTAAAGTATTTTTAAATATTATAAACTACACGTTCGACGTCATAGCTGTGTCAGAGACTTGGCATGAAACAGATTGTCCGATTGAATCAAATTCTAATTATAGCTTGCCAAATTACAAAGTAGTTAGCCAACCACGAGAAAATCATAAAAAAGGTGGAGGACTAGGATTTTACATACTTGAAAAATATATATTTAAGATAAAAAAACAATTATGAAAATAAATAAAGAAAAAAAAACAATTATGAATATCCGGTGATATAAATTTAAACGCGCTAAATTACCACAACTTTCCAAAAACCAATCTTTTTTTTTTTTTTTACTTGCATTCACTCCCAACAAGGCTGCAAGCAACCACTATTAAGTTAGGAGTTACTAGGAAAAAAAAGAACAGAGTTATAGAGCAAGGAAACGGTTGACAGAAGACTTGAAAAGTTGAAGGTTGTATGAGTCAGGAAAACATGAAGATGGGAGAGAGTTCCAAAGGATTAAAGTACGGGGAAAAAAACTAGATGAATAAAAGTTTTTAGAACATGCAGGGACAGATACAGTAAACGAATGAGACTTAGCTGAATGACGAGTAAAACGAGAATGAATTTTAGTTTATGGAACTAGAAATGCTAACTCCTTTGAGCAGTGACCATGATAGTATTTGTAGAAAAGAGAAAGAGATGCAACTTTACGACGATGGGAAAGAGGTTCAACCTTAGCAGATAGTCCAGGTCCAACAACATTTACAATGCGTTTTTGGACCTTGTCAAGAAGAGAAAGTGAATCGTTAGAAGAACCAGCCCAAATATGACAACAGTATTCCATACAGGGACGAATAAGAGGTTTGTAGAGGAAAGAGAATGGAATCACAAGTAAAGAAATGGCGAGCACGATAAAGAGAAGCAACCTTAGCAGAAGCTAATTTAGCAATCGATTGTATATATGGTTTCCATGAAAGGTCAGTAGTAAGCGATAATCCAAGAAGATGTAAAGAGGACGACTCAGTAAGAGGATTGCCATTCATTAATAAGGAATGTTGACCATATTACGGTAGTTGTTTGCAGTAAGCAACTGGGTTTTTTTAGAGTTGAAATTCACAATCCACTGTGAACCCCAATCTATTACTAAAGTGAGATCGGATTCAAGATCAGCTGCTTGTTCTAGACGATCGAAAAGAGAGGACTTTTTGTCAAGACAGGAGTATAAAGTTGAGTCATCAGCAAAAAGAGCTACTTTAGATGAAAGGTTGTCAGGAAGATCGTTTATGTAGATAAGAAACAAAACAGTGCTCAGGATGGAACCTTGGGGAACCCCAGAAGTTACTGGAAATAAAGAAGAGTGTTGGCCTTCAAGGATGACTTTAATAAACCGGTTAGAAAAAAATGATTTGATAATCTCAAAAACTTTCCCAGAAACACCATATGAAGCAAGTTTATGGAGAAGACCAGCATGCCAAACTTTGTCGAAAGCTTTAGATATGTTGAGAGCAATAGCCCTAGCCTTACCGCCTCCATCTAATGCACGATAAAATCTTTCAGTAACAGCAGTTAGCAAGTCGGCCGTAGAGCGAGAGGATCGAAAACCGTATTGATTGTCTGACAGTAGTTTATTTGACTCAAGATGAGATGTGAGGAATTTATTGATCAAAGACTCAAAGACATTGCTAATAACAGAAAGAAGACTGATCGGACAATAATTGAAGGGGTCAGAATTTTCTCCAGAGTTTTTGAATATTGGAACCACAGATGCCATTTTCCAACAAGCAGGAAAACAAGACTCAGTCAAACACTTGTTAAATAGTTTAGAGAGAATTGAAGAAAGTTCTGGAGAACAATTCTGCAAGACTGTGACAGGAATGTTATCTGGACCACAAGCTGTAGACGAGTTTATTGAGATATGACTTTTGCAACAGAAGCCGGAGTGATTTGAATGTCTAACAATGGGTCAACTGTTTGACTGGAATGGAAGGAAAAGAATGTCCATAAGATTCAAGAGTGGAATTAGAAGAAAAGTTCTTTGCAAATAGTTTTGCCTTTTCCTTGGGAGAGGTAATAAGATCAGTCTCATGAATGAGAGATGGAATGTTAGATCTACCCTTGTTAATAATGCTGTTGAAGATTTTCCAAAAGTCTTTAGAGCCTAACTTCTGCGATAAGATGCGAGATTTAGTGAACTGAGAATAATGGAGTTTAGCATCAGAAAGCACCTTTTTACATCGATTTCTTGCAATAATAAATATCCGTTTGTTCTCAAGAGAGTTGTTCTTTTGAAAAAGATGAAAAAAATGATTACGATTGGATATAGCAGCCGCACAAGAAGGAGAAAACCATGGAGTAGAATGAGACTTGACTTGAAACCGACGTGAAGGAATAAAAGCTTCCATTCCAGCCTGAATCCAGGAGGTTACGTAGGAGGCGCATTTGTCAGCTGAGAGAGAAAAAACATCAGCCCAAGGACCATCACGAAGAAAATCACAAAAGGAATCCCAGTCAGCTTTAGGGTAGTAGTAGGTGGTGCGATGATAAGGTGAGCCCAAAAAAGAAGTACGAGAAGAAAGATTTATAGAGATCATTGCATGGTGAGAACCACCTAAGGGAGAAAAGGGAGAAACTGAACATAAGCTAGGGTCAGAGACAAGACATAAGTCAAGGAGTGAAGGTAAATGATTAGGGTTGATATCTATCTAATAGAAAACAATATGTTCAAAACAAGAAATCTGGAATACTGAATATTCTGTGTGGAGTGTCTCAAGGATCAATCCTAGGACCTCTTATTTTTAATTTATGTTAATGATTTTAATAATGCATCATTAAAACTAAATGCTATCATGTTTGCAGACGATACAAATCTATTTTTATCTAACTGTAATATTAATCAACTTTATGCTGACATGAACATAGAATTAGAAAAAGTAAATGATTGGTTCAGGTCAAATAAACTTTCTCTTAACGTTGAAAAAACACAATATACCTTGTTTCATAAAAAACACAAGAAGAAAACCTTCCTCTAAAACTGCCAAAACTTATTATAAATTATAAACAAATTAAAAAACAAGATACTATAAAGTTTTTAGGAGTTATTGTGGATGATCATTTATCATGGCTCCCACACATAAAATATATACAATCAAAAATTAGTAGAACCATTAGTATGATGTATCGAACTCGCCCATACTTAAATTCACATAGTCTAAAGCTTATATACTTCAGCCTAATTCATTGTTACATTACTTATGCAAATATTACATGGGCAAGTTGTCTACCAACAAAACTTAAAAAAATTCTTTTCTAACAAAAACAATGCTTATAGAATTATATACAACAAAAAAAGGGGGGACCACACTAAACCTTTAATGATGGATATGAAAATGATGAACATATATCAGATAAATATTTTCCAACACCTAAACTTTATGTATAAATATACCAATAATCTAACTCCTAAAATCTTCATAAGTAAATTTAATAAAAATTTAAATGAGAAGTATTTCTTAAGAATAAATCAAAGTAACACATATAAATTACCTAAAAAAGTAAACAAATACACAGAGTATAATATAACTTATAGAGGTCCCAAGCTATGGAACTCTTTTCTGAAAGACAATTTAAATATGGCAAAATCTTTAAATTCATTTCAGTGTCAAACAAAAACTTACGTTCTAAATCTTACGGATTAATATTTATTTTTATTTACAAAATTTTTTTTTAACATTATATCTGATATTTAACTGTTTGTATTTTTAAACTATTATATGTAATCTTTATATATTATATGATGAATAGTTTGAATAGAACTAGTTTATATTTAGTGGAAAGCGGCGTGGTATGCGGACGTGTTTTTTAGTCGCAGCGTAAAAAGTTCTAACTTTATGTTAAAAATGGAAATAACAATGAAGAGCATTGAAAAAATGATTTCATCAAAACTTGAAGAACATAAAAAAAGCATACTTAAAGAAACAGAACGTTTGCTAAAGGAGCAGGAAAAAACTTTCACCTCAATAATGAGTGCAAACCTTAAAATTATAACCGATAGGTTAGACGTTATAGAAAAAGACAATAACAACAATAAAAGGAAAATATCGAATTTTGAAAAAGATATCAATGACATTAAAGACAGCTTTAATTTTCAAGAAGATAAAATATCAGAAAAATTATCACACATAAAAAAATACTATGACAATGAAGTAAATATATTAAACAAAAAAACAGTAGATTTGGAAAATCGATCGAGACGAAACAACTTAAGAATAGACGGACTACACGAAACACCAGGAGAGAATTGGGATGATTGCGAAAAAGCAGTAAAAGTAATGATTAAAAAACAACTTAAAATAACAAGTGAAGTGGTGATTGAACGAGCTCATCGTATCGGTCAACACAAGCATAACAAACCAAGAACAATAGTCTTAAAACTCTTAAATTTTCAGGACAAAAACAAAATTCTCAACGCAGTAAAGCACCTTAAAGGAACCGGCCTATACGTTAATGAAGACTTCGCTCCAGAAACAACTGAACTCCGAAGAAAGCTTTGGGAAGAAGTAAAAAAACTACGCAGCGAAGGTAAATACGCTATTTTAAAATACGATAAAATATTTAGTCGAGATTTCAAAAAGTAGCGCCGCGTTCTCTTTTACTTAAACTCTTTTTTAAACGAACGCGTATTTAATTTTTGCTTCTTAACTTAATGACTTACAAAACAATAGATTTTGAATCGCTGCGTTTTAATGTCTTCGAAACCGCAAATAACTTACTCAATGATTTTTGTGACGTTGATACGCAAATCTTTCAAGTTAATAACTTTGATTCGCCTTATTTCAACATTAAAAATTTTAAAACTGAACTCCAAACTTTTAAAAATAACTTTATGGCAATACACATAAATATAAGAAGTATAAATAAAAATTTTGATAAATTAAAACATTTCTTAACCGATTGCAATTACTCATTCAGTATGATTTGTCTGACAGAAACTTGGTGCTCTGATGAATCAATTCAAAAAAATTCTAACTTTCAAATTCCATATTATAAATTATTATCTTCTGAAAGGAAAGCAGACAAAAGGGGGGGAGGGATTGCAACATATATTCGGAATGACCAAGCAATAAAAGCAAGAAAAGACCTTTCGATTTCTGATTCCAGTTGTGAGGTACTTACAATAGAAATCACTAACTCCAAAACTAAAAATATCTTAGTTTCTACCTGCTATAGACCACCTGAAGGAGATATAAAAAAATTTTCAAGCTACTTGGAAGATATCTTTCTTAAAATTAATAGAGAACAAAAAAAACTATTCTGCATAGGTGATTTAAATATAGATTGTTTAAAATACAAAAAGAATGCGACCACCAAACTTTTTTTTGACAACATGTTTCAACATTGTATCTTTCCGATTATCAACAAACCTACGCGAATAACCCCGAATTCAATTTCCGCAATAGATAACATCTTGACAAATGCATTTCAAGATTCCTCTTTAAAAACAGGTATAGTTAAAACCGATATTTCGGATCACTTCCCAATTTACTTTTCTATAAATCAAGATACAAGAATAAACAACAATTCTAAAACCAAAATTTATATAAGAAAAACTAATAAAATTTCTATTCAAAAATTTAAAGACACACTATCAATAGTGAATTGGGATGAAGTATATAAAAAATGCAACCTTGAGGACACAAACTCCGCATATAATACATTTATCGATATTTTTTTTAATCATTATAATAGTTATTTCCCGATCGAAGAAAAAATAGTTAAAGAAAAATATTTGAACTGTCCATGGATTACTAGTGGAATTAAAAAATCCTCTAAAACAAAACAAAAACTCTACATAAAATATTTAAAAAACAGAAATGAAGTCAACTTATCTATCTACAAGCAATACAAAAATCTCTTTGAAAAAATAAGGAAAAACTCTAAAAAAATATACTACTCAAAACTACTTCAAAATACCAATGGCGATATTAAAAAATCATGGAACATCATGAAAGAAATAATCGGGAAAAAAAATACCAAAACAAATACCTTACCTGATAGAATTGTTGTGGATGAAAAAGAATACAACGATAAAAGTTCTATAGCCGAACATTTCAACAGTTTCTTTGCAAACATCGGCCCTAACATGGCGTCCAAAATTCAATGCCCAAATACCTATTTTGAAACCTATCTTACTAATCAACAAAGCGAACTAAAATTCAATGGACTAGACTATGATGAACTCGAAGCTGCAAAAAATTCTCTAAAAATTAACAAAGCACCAGGGATTGATGAGATTTCTAGCAACGTAGTAATAAGTGTCTTCCCGGTGATACGCAAACCCATATTCGAAATTTTTAAATCTTCAATTACAACAGGAACTGTTCCAGACAAATTAAAAATTGCAAAAGTTGTACCAATATTTAAATCCGGAGAGCAATGCTCACTTAATAACTACAGACCCATCTCAATCCTTTCTGTCTTTTCTAAACTTCTAGAACGAATAGTTTACAATAAACTATATAAATACCTAACTATTAACAATATTTTGAATAAAAAACAATTCGGATTTCAAAAACAACATTCAACCGAACATGCGATTATAGATCTTGTAAATAAAATAAATGACTCTTTTGATAATAACAAATTTGTTCTAGGAATCTTTATTGATCTATCGAAAGCATTCGATACTGTTGATCATGCTATACTACTTAAAAAAATGGAAAAATATGGCATTAAAAATGTTGCTTTACATTGGTTTGAGAGCTTTCTTATAAACAGACAGCAATGTGTTATTATGGATAAAAATACCCATTCAAAATTACTTAAAATAAAATGCGGAGTTCCCCAAGGTTCCATTCTAGCTCCCCTACTCTTCTTGCTATACATCAATGATCTTCCAAAAGTCTCAAAAAAACTTGATGCCATAATGTTTGCAGATGATACAAACTTATTTTATTCATCTACTTCTATCGCAGAACTCTTCGAAACTGCAGGTATTGAACTTGAAAAACTTAATACTTGGTTTAAATCTAACAAATTATCATTGAGTACAGAAAAAACCAACTACATTCTATTTCACACCAATCAAAGGAAAAAATCTATACCAATTCCATTACCGTCTCTAAAAATAGAAAATAAATTTATCGAAAGAACCAAAGCAGCAAAATTTTTAGGAATACTTATCGATGAGAATATTTCATGGAAAGCTCACATAAACTTATTAAATACCAAAATAAGAAACAACATTTGCATGCTTTACAAAGCTAGACCGATGCTACCCCAAAAAAATTTAAAGCTACTTTATTTCTCCTTCATTCAAACCTATTATACGTATGGTAATATAGCATGGGCAAGTACCCATAGATCCAACCTAGTGGCACTTTATCGACAACAAAAACATGCTGCAAGAATAGTATTTAATAAAGATAAATTTACTCATGCCGAACCTTTGCTAAAGCTTCTAAATGCACTAAATGTCTACAAAATTAACATTTACCAAAATTTGATATTCATGCTCAAATATAAACTCGGACTTATCCCATTACATTTTTCAGAAGAATTTTTTAAATGCAATAGAAATAAATATGAAACTCGAGGAATAGGAAATTTTAAAGTACCATATAAAAAAACAAAACTATCACGTTTCTCCATCTCGTATCGCGGCCCTTACCTCTACAACAAACTAATAGCTAAAAATACTATAATTACAAAACTACTTAACCATAATTCTCTGAAAACACTTTTAAAAAAACTTGTTCTAAACTTAAACAATTTTACAAACGTATATTAAAACAAATAACTAAAAACCCCTAAAAAATCCACTTTAAAGCAAAGTAAATGTTAGATTTTATTTATATTTCGTACATGTCAATATACTAAGTATAACAAACCATGTAACTATATATTTATGTGTATCAAATACAGCTCTTTTCCGTTTTTTGTTTTTGATTATCTAGTAGCTTTTTATGTGTGACTCTTATGCCACCATGAGACTTTGACAAACTGAAATTTCTTAATAAATTAAGTATATAAAATATCGCAACTAAAAGCGGTTTCTTGATGACAAGACCAAAATGGTCTTCTGCAAGTTTCCCGCGTCTTTTAACAGTGTTACTTTTTTATATATATTATTATTTGTATTAAAAAAAGTTTTCTTATTATATGTACGGTATTTTTTTTATACAATGTAAACGAACTAGTTTATATTTATGATCACGTATTTGTAAATCTTTGATAAAAGACAAAAAAAAAAAAAAAAAAAAAAAAAAAAAAAAAAAAATATCATATATTTAATTGGAAATTTGTACTTAAATATCTTCTTTTATAACTTTTTGTGACTATTAGTATTTATTAATATTAAATCGTTTTAACTATTTGTATCATAGTATATATATATATATATATATATATATATATATATATATATATATATATATATATATATATATATATATATATATATATATATATGTATATATATATATATATATATATATATATATATATATATATATATATATATATATATATATATATATGTATATGTACACACATACACATATACATATATACATATATACATATATATATATATATATATATATATATATATATATATATATATATATATATATATATATATATATATATATATATATATATATATATATATGTATATGTACACACATACACATATACATATATACATATATACATATATATATATATATATATATATATATATATATTATATATATATATATATATATATATATATGTATATGTACACACATACACATATACATATATACATATATATATATATATATATATATATATATATATATATATATATATATATGTATATGTACACACATACACATATACATATATACATATATATATATATATATATATATATATATATATATATATATATATATATATATATATATATATATATATATGTATATATATATATATGTATATGTACACACATACACATATACATATATACATATATATATATATATATATATATATATATATATATATATATATATATATATATATATATATATATATATATATATATATGTATATGTACACACATACACATATACATATATACATATATATATATATATATATATATATATATATATATATATATATATATATATATATATATATATATATATATATATATATATATGTATATATGTATATGTGTATGTGTGTATGTGTGTATATGTATATGTGTATATGTGTATGTGTGTATATATGTTTTTTAATGCATGTATTTTAATGTATATATTGATACATCTTCTTTTTTCTCTATTTTTATTCTTAAATATTATATCTTCTTTTTTTTACTAATTTTTTTTTTCTAAATTTTCTACTTGATTTATTAACCATATATTACCGTATATTTTTGTTATGATGTGTAGGGGCTCTATGAAAAGATTAGGTTGGTAATTTGCCATCCATATCTTCTTTGAGCCTCTGTCTGTTTATTATTTGTACATTTGTAATTATATTTAATTTTTGGTTAGAGGAAATTGTAATTTATATAAACAGCA